CGTGGTCCGGACGTGCACCCCGCGAAGCGAGAGGAATCCACGTCCGGAGGTGACGTGCTGAGCGGCAGCGTTTTTCGGCGAACGTCTTGATGCAACGTATCCCATGTATCCAATAGTTGTATAACTGCTACACGTGGTAAAATTTTACATTATTATGTCTCCCCCCTAGCCCCCCTCGGAGTCGCGCCATTCCGCCGCACCAAGGTGTACCCCCCTTCTCGTGTTCTCAAAACAAAAAAACAAAAGGAAATCGACGATTTGAGCCTCTTGGGCTCTTGGGCCTCTTGGGAGCTGACTGCTGCAAAATTGCCCAGGATGGCCTCAGGGCTGGCCAAGACAGCTCCAAAAAGGCCCAAAATGGCTCATGCAGAGCTCATGAGTCCCTCAAGACGGCCCAAGGAGGGACCCCAAGAGCGCCCACAACAGCGCCCCCTGAGACCGAAACCAGCGTTGATTTGCCTTTTGGTTCTGTTATAAAGAGTGCTCTTGCCTGCTTCGAGCTTCGCACATCCATGACGACAAGCAGCGTCAAAAATTGCTACAAGCAAATCCAATAAACACCCCCACACAGGCCTGAGACGGCCCTGGAGGGACCAAGGGCGGCCCCCAAGACGATCCAGGAGGCCCCCACGACGGCCGCGAGAAGCTCCCAAGACGGCCTCCGGAGGGCACGACGGGCTCCACGCCCGCCAAGAAGGCCCCCAGACTGACCGACATGGCCCCACGAAGCCCGAAAGAACCCTCCGAAAAGCCCCCCAAGACGGACCGACATGGCCCCACGAAGGCCCAAAGAACCCTCCGAAAAGCCCCCCAGAGGCCGAGAGGTCTCCAAAAAGCCTCCCTGGGGCGCTCGACAACGCCCATGCGCATCGTGCGGGGCGATTCATCGAACAATTCCGCAATTTGGTCCTCCGTGCACATGCGACGCTTGTACAAGCGGTACTCCAACCGGAACTACGAAAAGGGACCAAACGAAGCGAGGTCGACAAAGGCACTGAAAGGGATTCGCACGACAAATCGGGACAAGAAGGCACTGAGGCACCGTACAGGGACGACGGCAACGAAATGGGACTCGAACGATGTAAAGGGACTCGAACGACGAAAAAGTACTCAGAAGGACCGAAGCGACGAGAAAACACCGAAACGTACACAAGGGACGGAAAAGACACAACAAGGGACGTACGAAACTAGAACAACAGAAAGGGACTGAAGTCAAGAGCAGACACGACAACAACGATGAGGGACTCCAGCGACGAAAAAGAACGGCATCGACGAAAAGGCACTTAAAGGGACCAGATGGAGGATAGAGGAAAAAGCACTCGAAAGCACTACGACGACGATAAACACCATAAGCCTACGAAAAGGGACTGGAACTACGAAAAGGGACCAAACGAAGCGAGGACTGCAACGTAAGGGGACGACGACAACGAAATGGGACTCGAACGACAAAACAGGGACTCGAACGACGAAAAGGGACTCAGAAGGACCGAAGCGACGAGGGGCCACCGAAACGCACACAATGGACGAACACGACACAACAAGGAATGGACGAAGCTACAACAACAAACAGGGACTGAAGCAAAGAACAGACACAACAACAACCAATAGGGATCCCAGCGACGACAAGGAACGGCAACGACGACAAGGCACTGAAAGGGACCGAATCGAGGAAAAGGCACTCGCAAGCACCACGACGGCGACAAACACCATAGCAGGGACTGAGAAGGCGTAAACCTACCTATACGACCACCCTTCGGGTGATAAGGAGGTTGTGGGGGGGAGAGAGGCGGGGGGAACCAACATCTGACTCAATCGATCTCACTATCGATCGCACTATCGATCTCACTCACCGGGACACCACGGGACACCACGGGACACTTGTCGATCTCACTATCGATCTCACTCAACGGGACACCACGGAACACTACGGGCCACCACGGGCCACCACGGGACACCACGGGACACCGCGGGACACCTCTCGATCTCACTATCGGCCTCACTATCGATCTCACTATCGATCTCACTCAACGGGACACCACGGGACACCTGTCGATCTCACTATCGATCTCACTTTTTGGGACACCACGGGACACCTCGGGGCACCACATCGATGTCAGCATCAATCTCAGTATCGATCTCACTCTCGATCTCACTCAACTGGACACCACGGGACACAAAGGGACACCTGTCGATCTCACTATCGATGTCACAATCGATCTCACTTTTTGGGGCGCGATAGGACACCAGGGGACACCTCGGGGCAGCACATCGATCTCAATATCGATCTCAGTATCGATCTCACTATCGATCTCATCGATCTCACTCTCGATCTCACTATCGATCTCACTATCGATCTCACCCAACGGGACTCCACGGGACACCACGAGCTACTGCCGGACGCCGCGAGCCACCGCCGGACGGAGGAGAAACATTTGTCTTGACTTCGCCCTAGTAACGGCGGAACACCGCGAGCCACCGCCGGACGGAGGAGAAACATTTGTCTTGACTTCGCCCTAGTAACGGCGGGACACCGCGGGACACCGCGAGCCACCGCCGGACGGAGGAGAACATTTGTCTTGACTTCGCCCTAGCAACGGCGGGACACCGCGAGCCACCGCCGGACGGAGGAGAAACATTTGTCTTGACTTCGCCCTGGCAGCGGCGGGACACCGCGAGCCACCGCTGGACGGAGAATAAACATTAGTCTTGACTTCGCCGTAGCAACGGCGGGACACCGCGGGAGGGACACCGCGAGCCACCGCCGGGCGGAGGAGAAACATTTGTCTTGACTTCGCCCTAGCAACGGCGGGTTCATTCCTCTCGCGCGCCCACGCAGCTTCGCCTCGCCCGCAAGCACGACACGAACGAAACGAAACGTTTTCCCGGTTGGGAGTCTCCGTTCCACTGCGATCTCACCCCTCAACCTCTGACGAAAAGGGACTGGAACTACGAAAAGGGACCAAACGAAGCGAGGTCGACAAAGGCACTGAAAGGGACTCGCGCGAAAAATCTGGACGAAAAGGGACTGAAGCAACGAAAGGGGACAACGACAACGAAAAGGGACTCGAACAACAAAAGGACTCGAACGACGAAAAGGGACTCAGAAGGCCCGAAGCGACGAAAGGCAGAATGAACGCACACAATGGACGGAAACGACACAACAAGTGATGGACGAAACTACAATAACAAAAAGGGACTGAAGCAAAGAACAGACGCGACAACAACGAAGAGGGATCCCAGCGACGACAAGGAACGGCATCGACGAAAAGGCACTGAAAGGGACCGAATCGAGGAAAAGGCACTCGAAAGCACTACGACGACGACAAAGACATAGCAGGGACTGCGAAAGCAAAAGCCTACCAAAAGGGAGTGGAACTACGAAAACGGACAAAATGAAGCGAGGTCAGCAAAAGGACTGATAGGGACTGGCACGAAAAATCGGGAAACAAAGGGACTGAGACATCGTAAAGGGACGACGACAACGAAAAGGAACTCGAACGACGAAAAGGGACTCGAACGACGAAAAGGAAGACAAACCACGAAAAGGGACTCAGAGGGATCGAGGCGACGAAAAGCCACCAGAACGAACTACAAGAACGAACCTGATATCACATTCACTGCCAAATACCATAACGTCAAAAAGGGACAGAAGAAACAGACCACAACGATAACAACGAAAAGGGATTGAAACAACGCAAAGCGGGGTTAACGACGAACGGGACTCAAAGGGACTCAACTGACGAAAACGGACTCGAAAAGGCTACGCCGACGAATAGGACATAGCAGGGACTGCAGGAACATGCAACTACGAAAAGGGGTTCACACAATTAAAAGAGACTAAGAAACGAGATCGACGACAAAACCGAAACAGACTCGCACGCCAAATCGGGAGACAAAGAAACCGAGGAAACGAACAGGGATGACGACAACGACCATGAACTCGAACGACGAAAAAGGGACGCGAACGACGAAAAAGGACTCATTGGAACCGAAACGACTAAAAGCGAACAGAACAAACTACAAGAACGAACATGATATCACAGGGGATGCATGGTACTACAAAGGAAGAAAAGCTAAATAAACAAAAAGGGACGACAACGACGAACAATGATTCATGTAGCGAAAAGTGACGTCAACGCCGAACAGCCACTGAAAGGGACCGAATCGACGAGAAAGGACTCGAGAACATTGCAACGACAAAACGGACATAAGACGATCTGCGCAAACATACAACTACGAAAAAGGACTGGAACTGCGAAAAGGGACCAAAGGAAACGAGATCGCCAACAAAAATTGAAAGGGACACTCACGACGAAGTGGGGCCCAGGATGGCCTCGGGGCTGGCCACGACGGCCCCATGACGGCCCCTCAGGGCTTATGAGGCCCCAAAGGCGGCCCAAGAGGGCCCCAAGAGCGCCCCCAACGGCGCCTCCAGAGACCAAAACCATTGATTTCCCATTGTTTTTTGACTGAGTTTAGCGTTATCGCCTGCGTCGTTTCAAAAAAAAAAGGTGACGGCCAAAGCAGCAGCCAAAATTGCCCCAAGAAGACCCAAAGCCCCCCAAAAGAGGCCCAAGACGGCCCGGGAGGAACCAAAAAGAAGGCCCCCAACACTATTCAGGAGGCCCCCAAAGAAGCCCAGGAGGACACCAAAAACGCTCCAAGGCGGCCGCAAGAAGCCCCCAAGACGGCCTCCGGAGGGTTCAGACGGGCTCCAAACCCGCCAAGAAGGCCACCAAATGCCCGCGCATTCCGCAATCCGGACGTGCACCCCGCGAAGCGAGAGGAATAATTGAAGGGGGGATGCGGCGAGGACATGCATATGCATACTCGTGCAACTCCCCCTGCGTCCGTGGTCACGCAGCACCGGCTAGATACAGGTGTCCATCATATGTCACCCACTTATACTCTCTGTCACGCCAAACCGGCACTTCCTGACAATCAGCCTGCAAGGAGCTCACCAAAACTAAATAGAGGGCAGATTAAGTCCCAAGATTGTCCTCGGCATTGTTCGCAACGTCAAAATTGACCACCATCTTGACGCCTTCCGGCAGGCAATGATTTTCGCCAGGCGGCAAGAGGGACCATCCGTCCCAGGCTCTCCACACTGATCTGGCCCTGAGCGGCCCGATTCTCAACCTCAGCACAGAGCCATGCCCAAATAATCCTACGAACATTTACGCTGAACAACTCCGTGGCGCTGCAAACATTGTGCCCCATCCATACACACATGGACGGGGGCATGGGAACGACAACTGCTGCGTCCCGTGTCCCAGTCAAAACTGCACCTTCGGCAAACCTTCCCGCTGCGCATTGATTCTCACAATGGTCGCTCTAATACTTGGAACTCCCTCGCGCATCTCTGCTTCTGGGAACACTCGGCCCTGGTGGGGCGCCGCGGGCTCTGTCTTTGATCCCCGTGTAGCAGTCAGGCAAGTTAATGGGAAAGAGTATGAGGAAAAGAAACATGATCACCGCATGGCCCGAGTGGACGACCACATTCCATGACGTGCCCCTGCATCGTGGGGCGGCATGCTGCGTCAACTGTCCTGATCTGCCTAGAGTGTGACCTCCTCTTGGAAGCGGCTGCGCCTGTTAGACCTCGACGAGGCCGAAGTCTTCGGGGGGGGGGAGAGGGCGGCCTTTTGAGGATACGTTTTGGCATCGGGGAGCCCTCCGCAAATGGTTCAAAGTGCGAAGCCCATGGCCTCGCCCCAGAGCGGCGCGAAAGCTTTTGGGGCGGTGTTTGAAGCGAGCCTAACGTAAGGAGCAACGCACACATCCTGGCCGACTCCTCGACACCCGGATCCAACTATGATGACGTCTCACTGCTGGTTCCGCCGCCTGCTGCGGGCTGAGCCGCCGCCATCTTGTTTCTGCCAGCTTCCGCCGAAGGCGAGATGCGCCGAAGGCGAGTCCCCTCCTGGAAAGGCCTGGGTGGGTGAGGATCTCGTGGCCGTTGGACGGGCAACAGGCCCGGGAACCGGGTACTCTCGCGTCAGCAGCTCTGGCTCATCGTGGACGCAGCTGGAGGCCCACCCCTGCTGCGGCGGCAGGCTCCGGGCTGCAGAGCGGCCTCGAGGCGCGCACCCTGCCAGAGGGGAGGACGCGAGTGGCGCCCGCCTGCGCCGCCAGAGGCGGCGCCGACGAAGCTTAGACGATCGCCGGGCACAGCCTCGCTGGAGTTGGCCGACCGGGTCGAGCCCGAGCCCGCCCGCTGCGCCGTGCCCAGCCGAAGGCGCACGTGGCCGTGGTGTGCGCGACGTGGGTCTCGCCGCGGTGCAAGGACGGCGGGGCCAGTGACGCGCACCCCTTCGGGTGCGACCTGACGTGAGCCCTTTTGCCCAATGCGCACGGAGGACGTCTCGACAGTGATTTGAGGCCTTCCCCCAGAGGCAGGGGCCTGGGGTGGGAAGGCCTTTGACAAAAGCCGTCCAGCCGACCCGGAGAAAGAGACACTCTCCAGTCCACACCGCGAACCAAGGCAAAGGGGGGTCGGCGGACCACCGGGCTGCTGCCCATTGCGGGCTGGCGCGTGGATTCACCAAATTACGTCCACGCGGACGAAAGAGGTGGTAGAAGAGCCTGGACCTGGGGGCAAGATGCTGCCAACGTGCTTGGGTGCGACCGCGCTGCGTACAACCACAACTTCGTTGCGCGTAATAGATACAACCAGAGTAACAATAACAATCGCAGCCTTGGCAATCACAGCAATAGTAGCCACTAAACTGGTAATACGTAGCACCTCGCAGTTGTGGATAAGAGTGAGGGGGCGGCAGGGACGTGGGCAGTTTGCGAGGCTGAACCCCGTCGCAGGCGCAGAGTTTTTCAAGCTATACAACGAGCCCGCCGCAAGCGCCGATGTTTGTTAAAACAATGTGGGTGGGTCGCGGATTGGATCGCAGGTGGGTCGTGGGTGGGTCGACGGTGGGTCGCGGGTGGGTCGCGGGTGGGTCGCGGGTGGGTCGCCGGGTGGGTGGCGAGGTGGGTCGCGGGTGGGTCGCGGGTGGGTCGCGGGTGGGTCGCGGGGTGGGTCGCGGGTGGGTCGCGGGGTGGATCGCCGGTGGGTCGCGGGGGGGACGCCGACAACAAACAACGCAACAAGCAGAATCCTCACTATGGATCCCCACTTCAGCCACGCACCCAGGGACAATGAATGACCGTTCGGCCCCCGCACTCTGATCTATACTTTCAGGAGCCGTGCGGGAAACATGACTACTAAAAAGAGAGATCGTTGCACGTGTTGTGAGTACTTCTAGAACTGCGCGGATGCCGTTGGAAGTAGTGACGGTGGCGTTTATTGATAGGGGTTGGTGGCAAGCATGCACCAGCAATTGTCGCGTTAGCACGAGCAACCACAAGCACTGACGCCGTATGGACGCGGATAATGGCAACAATACCACGAGTTACTACAGTGACGATGTTCATGCAAGTGGTAGCAGCAAACATATTGCACACATTCCTAGCACACACCAGGAATTCATGCATAGGTGCTGGGCGAAGTCCGCGAACTCATGCGATGGGCCCCCAGCAGACTCCCAATGAGACCCATTATGTTTGTTTTGCGTCTCGTTTCGGGGCATCGGAGACCAGGGAACCTACAACACCAAATGGAGGCCCTCTTGGACCAGTTTCCTACCAAGTTGTTTGTCAATAGCAATGGCATGGTTCATCATCCCACCTTTGGAGATCTTACGCTCTCGGCCGCGACGTATCTGTGTATAGAAATGTTAAGGCGTGGGCGCGTTGCTGTAGTGCTCATGGGCCCCTGTGTGCGAATCCTGTTCTTTTGCGAGACACCGTCCTGCGCCCGATTCGCCGCGACAGCCGAGACCACTCCGACCCGACAGACACCTCCGGGGACTTATTATGGGAACTAGGACACATCTCGGCCAAAGAAAACAAACATAAACAAACAGGTCTCCTTAGCTAGCAAGCTTCTGCGGGCATCTATCAACTTTTTGCAAGAAGCATGGCTCCACTGCATTCCCGCAATTATGGCACACCCTGCCCATATCTCGCACTGCTTCCAGAGATCAGGGCCCTCGAGGGCCGTGCGAGGGTGTCCAAACATCTTATCCATCAGTGTCGTTTTGGTGCGCGTGTGCTCAAACATGCTGTGATTTTCTGCGTGCACTTACGGGCTATGGACACCAGACTGGCGGCCATGCAGGAAGGCCCTCTTTGCAACCACGGCGGACCCCACCCAGCCCTGGGAGGACTTACTCGGGACAACTTCTGGGGGACTGCGGCCGCCAAAGCTTACACCTCGAGACTTTGTCTTGCCCTCGCTGCTAAATTGCTTCAGAAAGATATACCTCCCTCCCCGTGTTTCCCTCCCTGGACCGCGGGCCCATGCGCTGGACCCTGACGCGCGAAAACTGTGGTAGGGATGCCAAGGATTGGGGGGTGTCAGGCGACGACTCGGCATTGCCTCACGGGTTGCGATGCTACTATACACCGGGCGCTCCATACCATCACAACGAAGTTGCAACGGACTGCACGCTTCATTCAAATAGGGAAAGACGGCATTAACCACCGATGCACTTACCATGTGCCATGCGAGGATCTTTTACCTTCCTATTTGGGACTGCTGCTCTGGCTGCATTTCGGTGCACGGGGAAGGGCCAGGGGGGGAAGGTGAGCCGCGGTCAAGACCGACGCCAATGTCAGTTCACTTCAAAAAGAGGTACCCCACGGGTGTCGAGCACCAGTGCCCGCTTCGTCTTTGACAGTACCTGCACTAGCCTGGATGAAGGCTCATTTTTTCCGCCTCCCCATTTTCCTGGCCATTGTCCATCTCTTGCGTGCACCTACATCAAAGATTCGGCCAGTGGCCGAAGCGCCCCCGAGGCGCGGCTGCAACTTGCTCTCTCAACATGCTGCCGCCTCTGCTCCTACTTCCCCGCCCTGCATCTCTCGTTCCCGATTCCTTGTATGCCTCGGCACCCTTCCGCAGGAGGACCGACCGACCGACCGACCGACCGAGGAGGAGGAGGAGGAGGAGGAGGAGGAGGAGGAGGAGGAGGAGGAGGAGGACGAGGGGGAGGGAGGCAGGAGGTATGATGCCGAGGAGGAGGAGGAGGAGGAGGAGGAGGAGGATCAAGGATCGGAGCTGAGCCCCCTTTGGCCTTTGATGTCGAGCCCGCGGGCCGCGACGTCCGTGGCCGCCAGTACCGGCGAGCGGCCGGACTTGAACGCGGCGAGGGCCTGCTGCCGCGGCCCCTGCTGATACTGCCGCCGTCGTCGCTGTCGGCTGTCGGCCGTCGTTCGTCGCCGCTCGTCGCTGGTCGGCGATCATCGTCGGTCGTCGGTCGTCGTCGGTCGTCAACCGTCGTCGGTTGTAGACCGTCGGCACTGGTCATCGGTCGGTCGTCGGTCGTCGACCGTCGTCGGTCCTCGGTCCTCGGTCGTCATCGTCGGTTGTCGGTCGTCGTTTATATTCGTCAGTCGTCAGTCGTTGGCCGTCGTCGGTCGTCGTCGTCGTCGTCGTCGTCGTCGTCGTCAACCGTCGTCGGTCCTCGGTCCTCGGTCCTCGGTCGTCGGTCGTCGGTCGTCGGTCGTCGATCGTCGTCGTCGTCGTCGTCGACGTCGGTCGTCGGTCGTCGTCGGTCGTCGGTCATCGGTCGGTCGGTCGATGTCGGTCGGTCGTCGGTCGTCGTCGGCCGTCACCGACCGTCGTCATCGGTCGTCGATCGTCGTCGGCCGTCGTCGGTCGTCGGTTGTCGTCGTCGGTCGTCTGCTGTAGTCGGTCGGTGGTCGTTTTCGGTCTCCAGGGTCCGCTTCAGGCTCCCTGGGGCCGTACAAAACTCTGTTTGGCATGAAAGCGACTGGCCATGATGGACCCCTGGGAAGTCCAGGGACCGATTTGGAACGGACTTCGGTCGTCTTCGTCGTCGTCGTCTTTGTCCGTGGTCCTTTGTCGTTGTGCGTCGTCCATCGTCCTCGTCAGTAGTCGCCGATTGTCGTCCGTCATCGTCTGTCTCCTTCACCGTCGTCGCCGTCGTTCTCGTCCGTCGTCCGTCATCAAGAGATGTCGTATCGCCTCCAAAGTATACAAACATGAGGCTCGAGCATCTTTGTGTAAGCATCTTTGCTAAATGTCTCTCCAGTCTTGATTTCCCTGGAGACTCTCGAGCGTCTGGATCATTCTCCTCTTTTCGTCTCGCCCGGGACCCAGGACTTCTATGGCAGGGCGAGCATGTGTCATGATCGTAATGCCCGCGCGTAGAGCGCATGGCTGGAAACAGCACATTCATCGAACGAAATATGTTTGAGTTGCGTTAGACCTTCTGCGCGCTGGCAGGCAAGTGAGGGCTGATCATCACATCTAGCCCCATGAAATCAGCAATGCCGCTACCAACAAAGAGCCGACATCTCCGCAACCATTTAATCAAACCGGTGCCCTGAAAGTAGGTGCGACGTATTAAGCTATGATTAGGTAAAAATGTGAACTTCGCTGTTATACAATCTTGCTACGGGTGTTGTATGCTCGGAAGTGTACGCGCCCGCTTCCTGCTGGATGTGTAGGGCAGGCGTAGTACGAAAACTTCAAAATCAAGTGTTGTGCTCAGACTCTGAGCCCAAGCTAGTCCTCGCACGGGTTTCTGGACTACCTTATCCTGAATTTGATCTCGGACAGAGACTTGTATAGTCCCCCGTGGGCTGAGGGAGGGAGGGCGAGGAGATGGGGATAAACAGTGCCAATTGAAATGCTGAATGGAGTGAACTTCCTAGCCATGCACAGCTCAGCCCCGAATCTCACCAGCCCTCTGGGCATAGGTGGTTCAGGGAGTCAGTTCTTCCAACCTCATTCTTACCCGCCGGGGAGCCGTCTACCTATCCCCCTACCCTCTCTCCATGGGTCTCGACGCGGGGGGGGGAAGGGGTCGGGGCGCGACGGGTGAGAACGTCCAAGATGGCCCAAGATACCCCGAGACGGTCCTAGAAAGCCCAAGATGTTCTCCAAGATAGGCAAAAAAATCCCACGATGACTCAAGATCCGCCACCGTGCCCCCTGGCACGTTGAGGCGTGCTAGAATGCCACGTGCTGACTGCCAAGGTTTTTGCAACCTTCTAAGGGATCCCCCCCCCCCCTCTAGTCGCACTTCGCCGCATGCACCGGCCTCCATCCCGAGGCCAGAACCCCTCGCAAAATACGACAGAGTCGCATTCCCGAGGCCACAATCCCTCGTAAGATACAATGATTTCGAGCTCCCGAAGCCAAGATGCCTCCAAGACGGTCAAAGATGGCTCCAAGACGGCCCACTGTGACCTCAAGAAGGCAGCCCAAGATGGCCTCAAGACGGCCCAAGAGGTATGGGCCTTCACAAACGGGCCTCGAGCAGCAAAAAACAACATGGTTCATCAGATTTCAAGATGCTTCCGGGGTTCTCGCCTTTTCGAGCTTCCGACGTCCCAAGACGGCCCAAAAGGCCCCCAAGATAACCCAAGACGGGCCAAGAGACCCCCAAGAGGGCCAAAGTACGGCCCAAGAGGGGTCCCAAACGGCCCAAGAGGCGCCCAAGACTGCCCAAGAAGGCCCCAGGTCGGCCCGAAGAAAGGCCCAAGAGGGCTCCAAAACGGCCCAAGAGGGCCACCAGGGGCCCGCAAGACTGCCTCACAGGAGACCAAGACAGCCACAAGACTGCCCAAACGAGGTCCATGAGGGCTCCTCAACTACTGAAGACGAAATAGGTCACACGTGACAGCCTTCCTCTTCCTCTTCCTCCTACTCCTCCTGCTCTTCCTCCTCCTGCACGTCCTCATCCTCATCATTACCGTCTTCATCTTCATCTTCATCTTCGTCTTCATATTCATCTTCATCTTCATCTTCATCGTCATCTACATCTACATCTTCATCTCTCCTCCCCCTCCTCCTCCACCTCTTCCTCCTCCTCCTGCCCCTCACCCCCACCCCCCCACCCCACCACCATCACCATCCTGCTCCTCCTCCTCCTCCTCCTCATCATCATCACCTTCGTCTTATTGTTCGTCTTCGTTTTCTCATCCTTCTTGTTCTTGATTTCATTTAATGTCATGCCACTTCGTTACCATTCATCAGTATCCTCATCATCCTCATCCTCCTCCGCCTCCTCCTCCTCATCCTCATCATCAGCATCATCATAAGCATAATCGTAATCATAATCAGCATCATCATCATCATCATCATCAGCATCATCATCATCATCATCATCATCATCATCATCATCATCATCATCGTCATCATCGTAATCGTCTCAGTATCAGCCTCAGCCTCAGCCTCAGTCTCAGCGTCAGCATCATCACCATCACCACCACCACCATCATCATCAACATCATCATCATCATCAGCATCATCAGCATCCTCAGCACCAGCATCATCAGCAACATCACCATACTCATAAATCATCAGCATCATCACCATTATCATCATCCTCACCACCACCACCATCATCATCACCACCAGCATCATCAGCATCATCAGTATCAGGCTCAGCCTCAGCATCATCATCAGCATCACCATCATCATCACAACCATCATCATCATCATCAGCAAAATACTCATCCTCATCTTCATCCTCCTCCTCATCATCATCATCACCACCATCATCATCACCAGCATCATCATCATCATCAGCACCCTCATCGTCATCATCCTCACCACCACCACCATCACCATCACCATCATCATAACCATCAGCATCATTATTAGCAGCATCATCATTATCAACATCATCGTCATCACCATCACCATCATCTTCTTCATCATCACCGCCACCACCGCCATCCGCATCATCATCACCACCACCATCACCATCAACAACAGCATCATCATCACTGCTCACCCAAAACTGGGGACACGAGGTGTCACACGCGACGGCCTCTTCTGCCCCCTCGCACAGTTGCCACCCATAATGCTGGACTGGCACGGTGGCGGGACTTACCAAGGGCAGCTGGATAGCCCCAAACATGCCTCAAAGAGGCCCGAGACGGCTCCAAGAAGACTCCGAGTGAAAACGGAGCCTCTCAAAGACGCTCCCGACAGGCCCCACTCCTCCCGACACCTGAGGAAGATCACTGTGCTTTGACTTCTTGCGCTCTCGCAACCGACGGGCTTTGGTTCAAGCGAGCCCCAAACAGGCCCCCAGAAGGCTCCAGGAAGGCCCAAAGAGCGCCCAAAGGCCGCTCAGAGCGCCCCCAAAGGGGCCCCAAAAGGCAACTTGACGGCCTTCGACGGGGGGGGGCGCAATACGCACCGCCCTCTTTGTTCATCGATGGCGCCCAAGAGAGCCCCAAAGGCCTCCGACATGCCCCCCAAAGGGCTCGCGTAAGCTGCCAAGAGGCTCGCATATCGAAAGATCCGCGAAGGCATTTGTTGACCCATGGGCCCGCATAGCTGATCCCGATCTTCGGTTTGACGGCTGTCCCCTCCTTGATTCCACTGCGTGCTCCAACGCTTCCCTGGTCAAAGCAGATCGCCTGAACATCATTTCTGGATGGGCTGGTTGGCATACGCGAAACGTCAAAGTCAAGAATGTTGGCAGTGAACCCGAACACTCTGGATCGAGCTCCCGTCTACACCCTGGTGAGATGTCCAAAAATGCTACCCATGATCTCCCAAACAATACCCTTGCGGCGGAACATGCTTCTTCGTTTGTGTGGCGTCGCTAGGGGCGCAGACACAGGTGTTAAGGCCATGCGCAAGGCACTCATTTTCGGGATAACTGTCAAACGCAGACGTATAAAAATCTCGATGTGGCCGTCACGTAATTAGCCCCCTCCACGCCGCCCTAAGCACTCTTCGAGCGTGGTTCCTTGGGACTGGCGGGATCGATCTGTGGAGGAACGAAAAAGCACTGGCGGCGGAACACTGAGTACCCGTCTGCACCGAAGATCACTGGTCGGCGTTACTTGGGTACGTCGATATGGTCGGGGCCATCATAAATATACAAAAGAAGTAGGTAGTCAAGTAAAGGTAGCGAGCCAATCCGTCGACAATGTCAGTCGGCCTCTCGTCGAAGAATTTGGTCACGCACGGGGGTGTTGGGTTGATATCGCCAGTCTCGAACATGATCAGGAGGGTACGGAACTCCAGGTACGAGATCGAGTCTGGAGTGCTGGGTAATTCCGAAAGGGTCTTCTCGATCTCAACGGTCGACTGATGTGGAAGATCAGACAGGTTTACAAGCATGAACTGCCAGAGGTCCTCGCGGACTTCTGGGTGGTTCGGCGCTGGACGCCCGTCCATGAGATATCTAAGGGAACATTCGACGTCAGAGCTTGAACTCCCTGAGGTGCTCAAATACTCATGTGGGTCACAGGAACCACTTGGGGTTAAGAACTTTCCGTGGGGCACCTGCAGGCTGGCCAGTTCCGTATCGGACGAGCCTACTCGATCCCTCCCCTTCCCATGCACGCTGCAAGACTGGAAGCGCCCGGCGCCGGCCCACGAAATCCACGCGGGCCCCCGAAATTCCGTTCATGCTTGCGCCGCTGCATGTTCTCCGGCGATGGACGTAGCTCAGCCTTCTCTCGGTGGGCGGCTGCTGCTTCCGCACCTCGGCTTTGGGGGGAAGCTGGCCCCAGGAGAAACGGGCTCCCGACCCCGTGTTTTTCCTCCTGCTCCTCCTCCTCCTCCTCCTCCTCCTCCTCCTCCCCCTCCTCCTCCTCCTCCTCCCCCTCCTCCTCCTCCTCCTCCTCCTCCTCCTCCTCCTCCTCCTCCTCCTCCTCTTTGGCGTCGTCGTTCTCCTCCCGGAAACATATCAGGAACATTTGTTCTTGTGGGAAAACAGTACTGGAGCCAAACAGACGCGGCCCACAACTTACATGGACCACTCTAGCAGAGCTGTTCGCTGTAGAAATGTCTGACGCAGCTGCTGCTCGAATGCTACGCATCATTGGTAGCTCTTGCAAGCGCGGGGAAGCTACATGTTTACACCCCCCATCGACCGGTTATGGCCGTAACACGCGCCGCAAGAGTACAGCAGCACATGCGATTCGAATATGATGCGAACCCGCTTGTGCCCTCTATGAACCATATGTTTATTTGTACCGCGCATGTGCATGGACATGCTGTCCCTGCTCACATGTTTGGTTAAAGTCTCTGCAACGTTCTCAGACTTTCCTACTTTGACCACTTCGATTTCCCCTAATCGTACTTTCTCTGTTTAACCAAGACTGACGAACCTCGATGTGTCTGACTTTTCCTAGCCCCGCCGGCTTGCAATGGCTGCAGTGGCGTCGATCTTAAAGGAGATGTCACAATCAACATCGAGGTCTTTGAGAACTGCTTGCAGCCCGAAAGATATTGAACCTCCTTTTCACCATTCCGTGATACTCTGCTTCTCCAGAAGATAATGCGACTGCACTTTGAATCGGACCCCACGGCTGTGTCATTTCAGATCCCCGCAGTACCGCTCCTCAACCTGTTGACTGACGTGTGTTCTTGCACCTGGCCCAGTCGGTGTCAGTCCACGCGGCTAACTCCTCAGTGCGCTCGCCAACACCTGTCGCGGTTCTTGAGGTATTTGCCTATGTTGTTCGGCTTTTCCATGCTCCTCGGATTGGGGCTGATATGGACCGCGCAAGTTCCTTGACTGAGAGTTGCATGTCCGAGCGGTCTTGCGCCAGATAATTGACCCTGGCCACCAAAACCTGGAATTCTTAACTTCATGACCTGGTAGGGCCCCCTGCTATTATTCTTCTTCTTCGCGAAGCTGCTTTCCACCTGGCATCTCACACCTCGCCCTGCGCAGACCCAGGCCGAACCCTCTAACGAATATATTCGCATGCCTTTGGTCTGCCGCATACTGCATACCAGAACCCATCTCAATTCCTTTCCACAAGTCCCCTGGGAATCCGAATTGCCTTCAGGTCTTGTAGTCCTTGTCCGAGACTGCCCCCAATCTTAACTCCGAGCGCATGTTTGACTGCTCTTTCGAACAAGCCAAGATCAATCATTGCATGGCGAAGTAGAATCGCATCTACGAGCTGTTCGCCAGATTCGCCGCGTCACATGTTCAAACGCACATGATGGTCCTTTCCCGCTGTCAACACCAATGTCGCGTGCATAACTAATGCGACAGTATTCTAAATGTCTGGCGGCGTCCAGAGTGCCGTGCGTTGACTTTAACAACCTTCTACACATGCCCGGTTCACGATCTTCCTTGGGTAGCCCAATGAAGCTGTTGTCTTTGACCTTGGCACGCCCCCCTCGGCAATGCCCTGGCCCCCGATCGGCAACCGCAATGGAGTATCACAGGTCTTGGGCATCCAAACGGAGGGGTGGCTGCACATGCGTTCTTTTCTTCGGAATTGCACTTGCCTTGCTAGCTCTGCGCAGGCATGAACTTCACGTCGGCCCTGAGCTTCCAGGGGGCATCAGGCCAGAGGTGCCGCGATGTTTCTGGCCCCAGTTAACGCGTGACCATGCCCGCTTACCCTTGTTGCGCCTGGCCGCGCTCATGTCAATTTCCCCCCCCGGCTCGCTCTGATTAGCTGTTGGGTCGCAGGCTCTGACGGAAAGCCCAAATCGGTCGTCGGCTGTCATCCGGTTAACCAGGCCCTCAGGTATAGATCGACATACCCAGTCTGGGTAGACCTCGGATCTCCTCGTTCGGCCTCCTCGAATTAACATTAATTACCTCCGCGTCGACGCAGGCCTCGACATTTCGCGCCGAGGGCTCTTCCGATGCAGGGGTTGTGAGTCATGGGCCGAGCGAGCATCTGCATCCGCACTTCCCTCCCTCTTGTGTCCCGCTTCCGGTCGCGGCGCCGCAGGTCGCCCCCGCGCGCGCGCCTTCGCGCATTCACATTCTCAGGCTTGGCGACGCGGCCCAGCTTTTTCTCTGAGCCGCGCATACTTCCAGCGCGAACTTGATTTGTTTAATCACGTAGGCAAGAATTTCCATCATCTGTTCACGCCCAAGCCGCGTCGAGTTGGAGCCCTGCAACCTGCTGGAAGCTGCGCATCTGATGCACTATTAACGGTGACGCGGATTGGCTCTTGAAGAGTTCCTCTGCATCTGCTCGCGTCGCATTCGCAATTGGAATCCCACGGTTTCCCGCGCTCATCGCGCGTGCTCAAGTCCACGGCCATCGCCGGCACAAGTCCCATGTTTCCACCGTGCTAGCGACTCGGACTGGCAAATAAGCTTCAGAAACAGATAACTGCCACGTTGTGCTGGACTCCGACGTTTAACCTGGCGGCCCCCCTGATTTCGTTGACCTGGTTGGCGACGTCTCAACCGGCGCTGACTAGCCGCTGAAACTACATCGGCACCAGAATCTCGCGCACCTCATCTACGTTCGCATTATCTTGTCATGCGTCGACCTGCTCGCGCACATTTGCTTCCACGTTTTCGTCGTCGGGCCCCTCATCTCCTCCAACTCTTGGATTCACTTGGTCCTTCGTCGCCATCGCCCCCCGAGCTGGCGCGGTCCATCCTGCCCGAGGCCCTCGCAACCCCAACTCACCATCCTCTTTCCAATATTCGGTTGCGTCCTCCATTTCGCTGGATCGCCCGGTGAATTGCACGCATTCGTCTCTAAATTACTCAATCGCTTGGGGGCTCGAACTTCCCTTTCTCTAGGCGCGTGGAGTTTAATTCTGGACTCGCGATGCCGTCGAATGGCTAGCCCGTCTCTCTTACAAACCGCTGTCCACGAGCGGGCCCCTCCTCTACTTGCCCCGCTGGAAACTGCCGGCGGGTCTGGTTGCCAGGATGACCATTCGCGTTGATCGCCCCAGATAAGTTTCAGTATTCCTCATCGCCCCCCATCGCGCATGAGCTCGCAAGACTTGATGGCGCCCTCTGGAGCGCCTATGATTAACACTTGGCTGGTTTCATGTGTCCGCAGAAATACACCTCCCCCCCGCCTTGCTTCGCGGTTGTTGCCCCCTTTTTTCAGACGGGAGCTCAAGGTGCATGACGCATTCGTCGAGCTCGGGCAACGGTTGTTGAATTTCAGCCCTCGGCGCGGCTCGCGGGCCGTCTCGCCGCCGGTGCCCACCGCGAACTTGTCGGCGAGAGATAATGCAACAACCGCTAACCAAGGCACCAGAGCATGCCCTTCACCAAATTATGTGTTTTAGTTGTCGTCCACATCGCTCCTCACTGTCATAAACTGACATTGCACTGCATGGATTCTCCTTCGATGTCACAATTGGTTTGGGAGTCTCCGACCGGGCGAACTTCTACACCCAGTGTTAAGTCGCGCGAGGCTATCGCAGCTTCCTTGAACACCTTGATGGCTGACCACCCAACGCTTTTGGGGATTGCTTTTTTGGTAGCCAGTGAATAAACCGCACCGCAACATACCTTGACTGAGAATGAACCCATTCCCGTTCCGCATAGAACTCGGCTCCAGGTTAACTTTGCGCCCCGGTAGTGCGCAGCGATGATTGGGCTTGCTCTGCCTTCATCCTCGCCGTCTCCCCTCTTCCCGCTTCACCGCATGTAGTCGACTGAGAACACTGGTACCCCTTGTCCTGGCATCCTTAACTTCACCGCGTGGGATACCCTCCTGGTTTTCCCCCTGGCGCAGCGAGGGCGCCAGCTTCAGCGGGGTGGGTAAAGTTTACTATGCAGCTCAATTTCTTATTTGATTGATCTTGGATTGCGCGATCCTTCTTCGGAGCCTCAGCCTCCCCCCCGTTAAAGACATCCTCCACATCACTTAACTCGCTGCCACCATCCTCGTCCTCGTCTACTTCCTCCAAACTCATAACGATTGGATTTCGACCAGGGCTTGCGAGCTCACTCGGGCTCAGAAGAACAGGTCCACCATGAGAGTTCCTTGCCCGGGACAAGCTTCAAATCTTTCATCGCAAATCTCCTCGACTGCCCCCGTTCTCTCCTGACCTGTCACACCTTTCGAAACCCAGATGGCGCATTGAAAAATACCGCTTTTCTCGTGGATGGTCGTCTTCTGTCCCGTTGCTTCATGTTCCGAAAAACTTCAGGATCGCCCATCGCTGTCTCGCTCTAACACTCTACGGTTTCTTGCTTCTACCATCTCTCTCACGCGCAGGCCTGAGCATTTTTTTAAACGCCGGCTACTTGGATGGGCTCACTATTGGCCCATGGTTCCAGAAGACTGACCCATTATCTGCGTTGTAATGTTAACCACTCCTGGAGGCCTCTGCGGGTTTCACAGGGAAATGGGTTCCCACTTTCGGAGGCCCAACCGTGTTGCATGCTCTTCAATCCACGGTAACGGCTGTCGTTTCCACGCCGCGCTCCTGGTCCCTGACTGGTACCTCATTAACTTCCTTGTTGGGCTTTTCCATATCCACTATCTGCAGTTCGGCGTTTCTGTGCATCCAACTTCTCTCCTTCTCGATGAAGACTGTAATTCGGTTGCCACAGTTAGTGCTATGATCGTATCCAACTCTGCGCCCATGTGGTACGCACCTCCTCTTGATCCCTTACCTCGCCTCCCCGTTCCTCTCTTTGGTTCCTGGCACTGCGTCCTCCACTCCCGTGTCCCTTTGACTGGCTCCGGTGCCGCGACGTTGCTGGTAACTCCACCTGCGTCAGTGGCCTCGCCAATTTTGACGCTGTAGCATCCTGGCGCAGGTAGGAGTTATCCTAACATCTGCGCGGGCTCTCCTGTGCCTCCTGCCGCTCCTCGACCTGGGATGACTTCGTTGGCGTTTTTGGGCAAGCGGGCTGCGATGTGATTCTTGTTCGCCGCATGTGTAAGTCCCCCTCTCACTGGTCGGCACAACTCCTCCCTTGCTTCCTCCTTTCCAACCTGGGATTTGGTTCCCTGGGTAATATCCTGGGGAGTCTCCTTTGTGGTCTCCCTTGGCGTTGCCCACCCAGATAACTCTTAGTGCATTGATCTCCCTCTTTGCATTTTCCTGCCTGCACCCTTTGTCAACCATGGCCTCCTATGTATTCCCCTTGTCCACCTCCTTTGGATTTGGTGGTTCCTTTAGTGGCGCTGTCCCTGGCAATGTATCCATATCCTCCACACCTGTAAGACATAAGCCTGTTGTCGTTGCCTTTTCCGTTGCCCACCTCATTCGTGTCTCGCATATGTCCTCCACGGTCCAAATCCACCAGCTTCCGCTTTCGTCGTAATGACTGGAATCGCTCACGCCTGTGCCCTAGTCACCAATATCTTCATCGGTAGCACGGCCGACCTCCATAGAAAGTCGGCGTCCACCACTGTAGCAAAACTGTTCCGCTACACGTGTATCTGACGCAGCTGCTGCAACTCCTGGTGAGCGTTTTCTTATTCGGAGTTTCGACATTGTGCCGAAGGGGGGGGAAGGGGGGTCTGGCTCCGGACCTCTGCTTAGTGCGGCTATTTGGAACCGTGCGTCCTCTGTGGGAGACCCCACTTGCTCGAAAAAGGCGCCAAAAACAGCCAAGATCTACTCCACGAGAAGGGGGGGAGGAGGGATGCGAGAGCCCGCGCAATCGGTCAAACAATGAATAAGAAAACGATCACCAGGCGCGGGGAGGCGACATGTTTACACGTCCTCCTCCTCCTCCTCCTCCTCCCCCTCCCCCTCCCCCTCCCCCCCCTCCTCCTCCTCCTCCTCCTCCTCCTCCTCCTCATCCTCCTCCTCCTCCTCCTCCTCCTCCTCCCCCGCCTCCTCCTCCTCCTTCTCCTCTCCTCCTCCCTCCTCCTCCTCCTCCTTCCCTCCTCCTCCTCCTCCTCCTCCTCCTCTCCTCCTCCTCCTCCTCCTCCTCTTCCTCCCTCCTCCCTCCCCCCTCCTCCCTCCTCCCTCCTCCCCCTCCCGGCGGCGCGCGGTCCCAGCGCACTTTGAGTTGGTGCCGGCGCAACCCCCAGTGCTTCGCACCGGCCCCCCAGGAGCAGCCGCCGTCTTACGCCCAGCACGAGGACCCAGCGTCCAAACAGCGGCCGCCCCTGGCGGGGAAGGGTTGCGCCAGCCGGGGCCTATAGCCTTGGCATACCCGGGGCCAGGACGCGCAGCCAGAGCGAGGTGTAGCCGGCCTCGAACGCAGGTCGCCCGCGTCCGGCGCCGCCCGCAACGCAGCAATGCCCGGCAGCAGCGCCGTCAGCCGCCCGCTCCGGCCTCCACCCCGCGCCGCGCGCCGCCCTGTCCGGCGAGCGCGCGTCCCCGGCCTTCGGCCCCTGCGCGCAGCAGTCCGCGCGCAGCAGCGGCAGCAGTAGCAGCCGCCGTCAGCCCAGTGTCAGCAGCTGCACGCCCCGCAGCCCCGCGCCGCCGCCCAGCGCCGGCGCCGCCCGCCGGCGCCCGCGCCCCGCTCAGCGCAGCCTGGCGGCGCGCCGAAGCTGGCGCGCCACCTGGCGCTGCAGCGCGCAGCTGAGCGCCTTGTAGGCGCGCGCCAGCTCGCCGGGCTGCGCGTCCTCGGGGAGCTCGCGCACCTGCGCCAGCAGCCACTGTCGCGCCTCAGCGCCCAAGCTGCCGGAGGTCTCCAGGGCGAAAGCCGTGAGCCGCTCGCCCGGGTACCCCTCGTGTTTCTCGCGCTCGGCCCTGCGCGTAGCCTCTCCCGGCCGTCGCGCCGCAACCCGGAGCGCCGTCTCGTCGCCTGCCGCCGGGTGGCGGACCGTCACGTCCACCCACCAGGGGCCGTCCACCTCCGCGTACTGGAGGTCCAACACGGCGCGTTCCAGGACTGGCGGGCCGGGCCCTTCTGCTGGCCGCCGCGCGCGGTGCCTATCCCAAGCAGGGACTCGTTGTTCGTAGAGGGGCACGCAGTGGCGCCACCTCCCGGCCAAGCTCCCCAGCGTCTTCTCCAAGTCGCCGTGGCGCCTCACGACGCCCCCGCCAGACTGGCAAGCGCAGGCGTGGTAGCCGTCTTCGTCCAGCGGGGCCGCGCAGGTGGCGCCGCTCGCCGTCTGGTTGCAGCAGGTAGCAGAGGCCCGGGCCAGCTCCGCGAGCGAGCACTCCGGCCGCGGCAGCTGCAGGCGGCGGCGCAGAGAGGTGCTCCAGTCCACGTCCTCCAGGGCGCAGAGGGGCTCCGTCGGGTACTGCAAAAAGCCGCCTGCCCCAGGGCCGCCCGCAGACAGCAAGGCGGCCTTGCTGCGAAGATCCACTCGCTGCTTGACAGCAGCGTGAGTTGTCTTGTGGATATAATCGCAACGACCGTCTTCTGTCGCGTCTCCTCCCGTAGTGCAGCAGCTAGCGGGGCCCCCGGGGAGGGCTCGGCGCCCTGGCGCCCCAGCTCTGCGCGCGCCTCTTCGAGCTTCGCGCGCGTCTGCGGGAGCGTCTCCAGGGCGTCTGCAAGCGAGGCGGCGCCGAGGCCGCGCTGCACCTCGCCTGCCGCCTGCGTCCAGGCCGCCCAGTACGCGGCCGCCCTGCGCGTGGCCGCCCTCCTCCCTCCTCCCCCCTCCCCCCTCCCCCTCCCCCTCCCCTCCTCCTCCTCCTCCTCCTCCTCCTCCTCCCTCCTCCTCCTCCTCCTCCTCCTCCTCCTCCTCCTCCTCCTCCTCTCCTCCTCCTCCTCCTCCTCCTCCTCCTCCTCCTCCTCCTCCTCCTCCTCCTCCTCCTCCTCCTCCTCCTCCTCCTCCTCCTCCTCCTCCTCCCTGGCCGGCTGCAGCAGCGAGGAGTGCCTTTCCCATCGGTTGGGAGCCAGGGGCGAGCTTTTCGGCCCGAGCCACTTTTTGGCTCGCCGCGGGGCCCAGGAAGGCCCCCAGGAGTCCGCACACCTGGACAACCTCCAGGCCCCCCTTCCTCCACCCCGAGACCCGACGTCGCGAAAACCACACATGCAACATCGCGGAAAACCACCACCGGACCCCTCGACACCAGCATTCTGCGGCATTTACTCGAGCCAGCCAGATCGATGTGCAGGGCCCGAGACCGTACGAATGTATCGAGTTTGGCACATTTGTGACGCCTGGATCTGAATGCAAGACCCAATTTGAGGCCAGAGTTTGTACATATCCTCCGCCTGGGGAGCCGAAATCTCACGACCCCAGGGGGCGATGGATATTGACAGCCTTGGGCCCCCAGGTGCCCAAACAGATCCACGTGCACCCCCTCCCCAGGCCGTGGTGCAGACCCACCCAGGATGGGTATACACTCCCGCCTCGGACCTCAGCATGGGTATACACCCCAGCCGTCCAGGAGGCGCATACACACCCCAGGATGGGCATAGACCCCTCCTCCCCTCGAGGGTGGGCAGCGCCCCTTTCCGCAGAACAGCCCCTGCAGCGGACACGGCCCGAGGCCAGCCCCGGCGGGCGCAGGCCCGCAGAGGGTGCGGCCGCCACGCCCTCTCGAGACTCGAACGAAGAGCAGCTCGCCAGCCGACCCAGCCAGGTGCACCTTGCCGAGTCGACTGGCGATCTCGTGGCGACCTCACGTACACCCTGCTAGGTCCCCATGGGGGGACCCCTCTCTGAGCCGCCGCCGAGCGCCTCTGGCTGCAGGCCCTGCCGCCCACGCGGCAGCGAGGCTGCCCGTGTGATCCCGGGCCGCGGCTCCGGCGCGCCCAAGCACGCGAGGGCGCGCGGGAATCCGGGGCGCACGGAGGCGGCTCCGCAGGACCCAGAGCCCCAGAGGGCGTCCTCGGGGAAGCTTGGCGGCGCCCACAAGGGGGTCCCTGAGATCCCGGCGTTGCAGTTCTTTCACGCCAGGCGTTTTCGCCCGGTTCCGGGCCCTGAGACCACCACAGACCGATCGGGTCGGAGAATGCGGGACCTGGGGCTCCAGTCTCGATTTTTCGCGCTGCTACGTCGGATCGCAGGGGTGGCGCGAGGGTGGCGGCACGCTAGGAATGCGGAGGGGATTCCCTTGAAAGGCCACGCCCTTCTCACAAGACCCCGGAGGCTTCTCAGAGGGCTTCTTTTTGAAGCTGGGCGGGCTTCTAAGAAGCCCCCCTGCCTTCTCAAGAGCCCCGCCGCCTCCTCAAAAGGCTGCCCCCCTCGCACCAGGAAGAGCCGTGCTTTCTTATAGAGGTTCTGACAAGTTGACTTGCATGGCATTCTGCATGCCGCCTTCTCTCATGTTGGGTGGAAAGAATTCAGAAGAGACTTTCGACTTGCGCGGTTTCCAGTTCTCCTTTTTAGGGGCTCGCCGAGGACTCCCCCCCCTACAACTGTAAGTGACCTTGCCCAGGTCGACCCAGAAAAAAAACAGAGACTGAACGTGACCGCGCGGCGGCCGGCAGGGCCGGTAGCGGCCGGCAGGGCCGGCAGGGCCGGTAGCGGCCGGCAGGGCCGGCAGCGGCCGGCAGGGCCGGCAGGGCCGGCAGCGGCCGGCAGGGCCGGCAGCGGCCGGCAGGGCCGGTAGGGCCGGTATGGCCGGTAGGGCCGGTAAGGCCGGCAGGGCGGGGCCGGTAGGGCCGGTAGGGCCGGCAGGGCCGGCAGGGCCGGCAGGGCCAGCAGGGCCGGCAGGGCCGACAGGGCCGGCAGGACCGGCAGGGCCGGTAGGGCCGGTAGGGCCGGTAGGGCCGGCAGGGCCGGCAGGGCCGGCAGGGCCGGCAGGGCTGGCAGAGCCGGCAGGGCCGGTAGGGCCGGCAAGGCCGGCAGGGCCGGCAGGGGTGGTAGGGCCGGTAAGGCCGGCCAGCAAGGCCGGCAGGGCCGGCAGGGCCGGTAGGGCCGGCAGAGCCGGCAGGGCCGGTAGGGCCGGCAGGGCCGGTAGGGCCGGCAGGGCCGGCAGGGCCGGCAGGGCCGGTACGGCCGGTAGGGCCGGTAGGGCCGGCAGGGCCGGCAGCGGCCGGCAGGGCCGGCAGGGCCGGCAGCGGCCGGCAGGGCCGGCATGGGCCGGCAGCGGCCGGCAGTGCCGGCAGGGCCGGCAGGGCCGGCAGGGCCGGTAGGGCCGGCAGGGCCGGCAGGGCCGGCAGGGCCGGCAGGGCCGGCAGGGCCGGCAAGGCCAGCAGGGCCGGTAGGGCCGGCAGGGCCGGTAGGGCCGGCAGGGCTGGCAGGGCCAGCAGGGCCGGTAGGGCCGGCAGGGCCGGTAGGGCCGGCAGGTAGGGCAGGGCTGGTATAAGGCCGGTGGGGCCGGCAGGGCCAGCAGGGCCGTTTTCCTTCCTCCATCCTCCTTCCTCCTTCCTCCTTCCTTCCTCCTCCTCCTCCACCACCTCTTCCTCCTCCTCCTCCTCCTCCTCCTCCTCCTCCTCCTCATCATCATCATCATCATCATCATCATCATCATCATCCTCCTCCTCCTCCTCCTCCTCCTCCTCCTTTTCATCATCATCATCCTCCTCCTCCTCTTCCTCCTCCTCCTCCTCCTCTTCCTCCTCCTCCTCCCCTCCTCCTCCTCCTCCTCCTCCTCCTCCTCCTCCTCCCTCCTTCTCCTCCTCGTCCTCATCCCCCCTCCTCCCCTCCTCCTCCTCCTCCTCCTCCTCCTCCTCCTCTCCTCCTCCTCTTCCTCGTCCTCTTCATCCTCTTCCTCCTCCTCCTCGTCCTCCTCCTCCTCCTCCTCCTCCTCCTCCTCCTCCTCCTCCCTCCTCCCCTCCTCCTCCCTCCTACCTGCTCCCTCCTCCTTCTCCTCATTCCCCTCCTTTTCCTCCTCCCTCCTCCGCCGTTTCCTCCTCCTCCTCCTCTTCCTCCCCCTCCCTCCTCCCTCCTCCCTGATCGTCCCTCCTGCCTCTTCCCTCCTGCCTCCTGCCTCCTGCCTCTTCCCTCCCTCCTCCCTGATCCTCCCTCCTTCCTGCCTCCTGCCTCCTGCCTCCTGCCTCCTCCTCCTCCTCCTCCACCCTCCTCCCTCCTCCCTCCTCTTCCTCCTCCTCCTCCTCCTCCTCCTCCTCCTCCTCTCTCCTCCTCCTTATCCCCCTCCTCCCCCTCCTCCGTCTCCTCCCCCTCCCCCTCGGGCGGGCGGACCCTAACGGGCGGGTCGGGTCGGGCGGGCGGGACATTAAAGTGTGGTGCATAATCGAGTTGGCACGCGAGAACCTCCTAACGGGCGGGTCGGGTCGGGCGGGCGGACCCTAACGGGCGGGTCGGGTCGGGTCGGGCGGGCGGACCCTAACGGGCGGGTCGGGTCGGGCGGGACATTAAAGTGTGGTGCATAATCAAGCAGGCACGCGAGAACCCTAACGGGCGGGTCGGGTCGGGCGGGCGGGACATTAAAGTGTGGTGCATAATCGAGTTGGCACGCGAGAGCCCTAACGGCCGGGTCGGGTCGTAACGGCGGGGCGGGTCGGGTCGGCGGGCGGACCCTAACGGGCGGGTCGGGTCGGGCACGCGAAAACCCTAACGGGCGGGTCGGGTCGGGCGGGCGGACCCTAACGGGCGGGTCGGGTCGGGTCGGGCGGGCGGGCCCTAACGGGCGGGTCGGGTCGGGTCGGGCGGGCGGACCCTAATGGGCGGGTCGGGTCGGGCGGGCGGGACATTAAAGTGTGGTGCATAATCAAGCAGGCACGCGAGAACCCTAACGGGCGGGTCGGGTCGGGTCGGGCGGACCCTAACGGGCCTAACGGGCGGGTCGGGTCGGGCGGGCGGGACATTAAAGTGTGGTGCATATCGAGTAAACGGGCGGGTCGGGCGGGCGGACCCTAACGGGCGGGTCGGGTCGGGTCGGGCGGGCGGACCCTAACGGGCGGGTCGGGTCGGTCGGGCGGGACATTAAAGTATGGTGCATAATCGAGTTGGCACGCGAGAACCCTAACGGGCGGGCCGGGTCGGGTCGGGCGGACCCTAACGGGCGGGTCGGGTCGAGTCGGGCGGGCGGACCCTAACGGGCGGGTCGGGTCGGGCGGGCGGGACATTAAAGTATGGTGCATAATCGAGCTGGCACGTGGGAACCCTGACGGGCGGGTCGGGTCGGGCGGGCGGACCCTAACGGGCGGGTCGGGTCGGGTCGGGCGGCCGGACCCTGACGGGCGGGTCGGGTCGGGCGGGCGGGACATTAAAGTGTGGTGTTCCTCCTCCTCCTCCTCCGAGGATCCTCCTCCTCCTCTGAGGATCCTCCCTCCTCCTCACTGGGTTTCCCGGGTGGGAGCGCTGAGCTGCGTCTCTGCGTCTCACGGGCCCCCCGGGGCCCGTCCCAGCGCCAACTCAGAGGACGAGGTTCGAGGACGCCCCCACGACGCCGAACTGCTTGGCAGGGGCGCGAGCGGCGTCCCCCCGCTCGCACCCCCCTCTCCCCTCTACAGGATGACGTCGGCGTCTGGATGGGTCCCAGGGGCCCGCCCAAACGCCAACCCGCAGAAATCGACGCGGGGACGCTCCCCGCTCGCTGGAGCTCCTTCTGCGCAGTTCCGGGGGAAGTCTCTGCGGGCAACCGACGGGGCCAGCGAATCACACGCCCCGCGTCACTTTTCCATGGCGAAGCGGGCGCTCCGGGCCGAGCCTGCGCAGCCCTGGCGCTCGCTGCGCCCAAACAGCGCGCCTGCTTCCTCTTGCGTGGCGGCTTCTTCGCAACTTTCTTGGGAATGGTCTTGCGGAATGCGTCGAGGTCGCCCTGCCACAGCCGCGCCAACTCTCTAGCATCGGCTTCCTCGAACCACCGCAAAGTCTCCACCATAATTGCGATTTCCTGGCTGACTGCATCTTTGCCGTGGGCCAGAATGGTCCGAAGAGCTGCATGGGAGCGACGGCGCGCCAAGCGCAGGAACAACATGTCCATGTGCATGCGGAAAAGCTCGTCCCCCAGCTTGGTTATCTGACCGGTCCTGAAAATACTTATGATCTCGCTGCACAAAACATCTAGGTCCGTGGTCCCGCTCGCCAGCTCGAAGCCCGCCGCGCGAGCGCACCGACACAAGCATGACCAATTGAAACAGCCCTGCAAATAAGTCTTTTCCTCGCATCGCTGAAATATTTCGAGAATGGCAGGTGTCACGCAAGGGTGCGGGCCCCCCGCAGGATTCGGCGTTGCCGCCTCGCCCTCAGTCTCGCGAGCAATGCCGACGCTGCGTCGGGTCCCGGGCAACACCTGCATGAACCAGCGCTTCACCTTCACCACTTCAGCCAGGTATTCAGCCTCGTCGTTGTATAGCCACGGCATGGCGTCAACGTGGAGCTCCGTTGACAATTCGTGGGCAATGCGCTCTATCTCTCCCCACGGAGGCACACAGGAGAAAATGTCCAACCAACGTTTGGTGGACAAGACACATGGTTGTCGCATGAAAGCCTGCGCCTGCGCAATTCCCTGCTCATATGCCGCTTTCCCGTCGGTCGCCCTCCACGTCTTGAACGCATTGTGGCCCAACATGGCCGCGTTCAGCAGAATGGGGCGCGCGACCTTTGGCAGAGGAGCCTGCGGAGGAAGCCTCGCTGGAACAGAAATGCCCTGAAAGTCCGACCGCGAAGGCGCGCTGAACCGCGCCTGAGCGGCTGCGAACGCATCGTGCAGCAATGGGGAAGAAGTGGAAGCTTTCGGCGCATGGTGCACAAGGTCGAAATCCAAGTGCCTCACGTCTTGGAACACCAGAAATCCAAACCGCCCATTCCGGACCTCGCGTTCCAAAGCATCGACCCGAGCCTTCGGACAAGCAGCGTCCTTGCAGGGCGCCTGGTCCCCCCAGCGTTGCAACCGCAACTCGCCTAACATGTATTTGTGGTGCCTGTAATTGTCCGTCCCAAAAGCTAACAGAGCCCCTCTGTCAGGGGATTGGGCATTGGCCTCCACGTGGATGTCCAGGTTCTCTTTCAAACCCTGGGCGAATCCTTCGCGCCCTTCGTTGACCACGCGAAGAGGCGGCCCGACCAAGCACCCCTCCTCGTTAAGGATTGGTAAGACGGCGGTCTTCGGCGCAGCAGGCTGGGAGCCCCTGACGAGTTTTGCAGCCTTGCGATGCCCGTCGATCTTATACACCCTTGTTCTCTTGGCCACGCACTTGCGTAGCTCTAAGACTTGCGGCG